GAAAATCGAGTGGAAGCCGCTTCTTCAATGATAACGGCCCATTGATGTACAAACACAATCAATCGAGATATCCGATAGATTCTGGATATTGATCATTAGTGTAGCGATATTACAAATGATGAAAACTTACGTTAAATATTGAGAAATAAACCAGTGGCCATACTTTGTGGTATGCATCAAAGTAGTTCTATCATTGCCTCCCCTTCACTAGGTATGCTGTATGCTCACGACGTCGACGTCGAAACCTGACTAAAATATGACTAAGTCTACTGATGTCATCACTGACCGCCTTGTTCTCCCAAGCTTCACACCGCCTTGGGGGGTTCCCGTATAGATCATCACATCATATAACTAAGGTATGCACTAACTAGTATCCATGGACATCGACGTATATATTTCCCCTATAGCAGCCAAAGAGCAAGGGTATGTACCTTGTGGCAGAGACTAAATTAGATCAGACCAAGCTCTTTTCTCTATCTTTATCTTTGTTTATAGCTACTGCTACTTTTTTTTGAAAAGGATATCAGGATAACGAGAGTATAATATCGAATCTACATTGAGTTAAAGGTCTATGTATAAGTATACTCTGTTCATCTATAGTACATTTAGCCTAGGGGTTGAAATCAGTTAATTTCAAGGGGTGGTCTTCCCCCCCCCCCCGCATAATTGTATATAGTAATAGTAACGTGTCTCCTCAAAAAACAACGTGGCCTTTTTTTTGCCGGCATATTCACGTCTTGGAGGATCATCCCTTCCCCATCCATCCATCTCCCTCAAATCTTTCCTCTATACAACCCAGCATGGTAAGTACAAAAGGCTGCAATCTTCTAAGGTTGCCATGGATGATTAACACATGCCAGGCACAAACACCACAGCAACGTCGAGCAAACGACCGCTTCGCAAAGACCGAGGCCGCGAAGAGAGGCAAGGCACCAACCACAATTAAACCGAAGAAGAACACAAAGTCGCCCCTTTCAGCGAGCTGGGTTGGTATGTATTTAACTCTGCTGTTGAATTGAACCATGCTGAATATTCCCCCAGTGTTACTCGCTTTTGTTGTTTGTGGCGGTCTTCTCCTAGAGCTCCTACGAATTATCCCTGACCTCTGGTCCACCGTGGTCTCCTGGTTCACCCGGATCACAGGATAAAATGGACTTGAAGCGAATGATTCCCCCTACTGCGCCAATACCCTAACTTTCAACCTTCCGATATGTTTCGAGTCAGCACCGATCATCCCTCATACTCCTATCCGATTCCTTTTACGTCGAGTGGTCAATGGACCAGGGAACAAGGGATGGGTTTGAGCGCAAATGAATGTTAAAATCTGCATGATTTGCATGTCACAGCTCTTTTCTCTTTTCTTTTTTTCTTTCTTCTTTTCTTTTGGAATATGTATTATTTGATTGTATCTCTCTGTTGTTGCTTGAGCCAAATACCACACATGTTGCAAGATTTACTCTGCCGGCCTGGAAGATATTCAATTCTCGCCTGATAGCTTTCCTGATTCCTGAGTCTTCTTCTTTCTCTTCTTCTTCTTCTTCCCCACTGCAGGCTCCGTAGGGTCTTCGGCCACTGGGCCAACATCTCGGTCTGAAGCGACGTGCTTTTTTGTCTTCTTCTTTTTCTTGACTAGGGTTCCTTCTGCCGGAGTACCCTCTAGGTGGATTCGCTCCGATGCTCGCTGCATCTGCAACCGTACTTCCTCCACTTGTTGCATTGCTCGCGCCATTTCCGTGTCCCCTTCATCTGCAGAAAATTGGGGAAATGGCCCTTTTGCCAATGACAAATTTCCTAGGCTGCTCGAGTCAACTTGGAGTAAAGAGCGCTTATATGTAGGGTGGTCATCACTAGCACCCTTGGGCCTGGAGGTGTCTGTCAAAGAGTTTGGGGTTTCAAAGGTCTCATCGCCAGCAACAACCAATTTGCTCACAGGGGGTCGACGACTTCTTTGGCGATCGAAATCAACATGACTGAGCTGCTCATCTCCCAACTTCAAGTCAACTATGGGGATGGAATCAATGTCCAAGACCTCGCCATTTGATGTGTTCAGAGCTTCATGGAATGGTGTAGACGTGCCAGACGACTCTCCGGAAGGAGCAATATAGAAGGGGTCATCCTTGAAGCGTTCCCTACGCTCGAGCATTCTTCTTTGTACTGCAGTAGAGGATTCCACCGGCGCACCGGTGAAGTTTTGATATGACGCATGGGGCTGCAAATCAACCGGTGCAAGCTCACGAGTCTGCTTGCTGGGAGACGAGAGTTCAGGAAGATGATAGAAGTCTGACGTTTCCCAAGACTTCGATTCGTGTGATGATGAGCTATCCAGGTTGCGGAAAAGACCTGGCAGATCGTGGCTAAAGGGCTCCTCTAGGCGAAGGCTATCCGGCAAGACAACCTTCCTCTGGGCACTGGTCGCAACAGGGTTGAGTTCGAGGCCTGTAAATAGGTTTGGTATGACCGAGGTGAGAAGAAATGGGATTTCTTGTGTATCGGTAGTCAATGCCTCAGCTGCTAGGCGGAGAACTTCTAGGAATTCGATGGCTCGCTCTTGGACATCCAAATCAGGATGGGCCGCCAATGTCTCGAGGAACTCAACGACTCGAGCAAGTAAAAGCGACATTTCACTTTTCCAAAGCTCTCCTGGTTGGCTGGTTTGGCTGACCTGAATAAATACCTTTGGAATAGCCTGCAAGAAGAGGGGAAGAGTTCCGGAGGGAAGCGACGCATTAGAGATGTCAATTAATGACAGTAGTGTCCGATTAGGCGACAGCAGATATTCAGCATATTCACCGACAACCCAGGCGATGGGGCCTAAAACACCGTCGCCGATAGTTGAACTGGAAGGGAAAAAAGTTGATCTGTTGTCCACAAACATGAGAGATTCGGCTGCTCTTGTGGCCTCCATGCGCACACCTTTCACCCTCACAGCAACATTGCGAATCTCTGTCCCTATTCGAAGTGCAGCGTTCATCCTCAAATTGGGTATAGCCTCTTGTTCTTTCGGATGGCCCCAATCGTCGTCACTCTCCGACGGTGGGAGAAGTCCAACCAGCTGTACTAACACAGCGACATACCACTCAAAATCAACAATTTCAGAGTAGTTTTTTTGAGAACAAAGATCCAGGATCCGGTGAACAACCTCAGTCTGGTAGTCGTTGGGCCATAAGGTTGGGGCTTTGGGGCTTTCGGGCGAACCAACCAATCCAGCCGCAGGGATAGAGGCTTGTTGCAGCTGATCTAGTAGACGGTTCACGACTGGCTGGAGAGAATCGCTACTGACCATTCCAACAGCAAGTTCTAAGGCTTGCAATCGGATAGAAACGTCCGCATCATCCAGACAATCCATAATGACATCCTGCTGCATGGAGACCAACGTCGGGTGCGTGGCAACAATGCGGTTCAACGCAAGAAGTGCGACATATTTGACTGGCCTCGATGGTCAGCAATCATATGTTGAAACGCGATGGAAGGATACTCACGATTGGGGTCACTATCTATAACTATCATACCCCGCAATTTCCCAACACAAAGAGTGGCAACTTCGTCCCTTTCCTGGAGATTCTCTTCACCGTCCAAAATGCCCCCTTGAATGATACCATTGATACACTCATAGAGCAAAGACATTGCGGATGTGGTTTGAATAATATTCGTCAATGGACGCAAGAGTTTGCGGGTCAGCCTTGGCTCCAGCGGGGTTAATGTTGCAAACTGGAAGAGTTAGAGGGTGCTCAGAAGACAGATATCCGTTCCATGGGGTTTGGGGCAATAGGGGACTGACAAGTTTGATGATTTTGATGGCCATCCAATTATTGCCGCTATCAACCAGAAGCTCAAAGAATCGAGGTGCCAGGGGGAGAAAGTCATGAGGTCGTCGCCAACCAAGCTCACAAACGACGTTGATGGCCGCAGTAGTGACACTCCCATCTTCTTGATCGTCCATCAGGTGGTCTTTTATCTTGGGCCATGCCAACTTCAGAGCTTCGGGATACACCAAAGCAAGCCTATAAAGACAGACAATAGTTTTCTTGCGCACCACGGGGCTTGAGTGTGAAAGTCGGGAGAGTAAATCAGGAAGCAAGGACATTGCTAAGGAAGGTGTAATAATGTGCGGTAAAGTAATCAGAGGAAGTGACATGTTGGGAATACTGGAGGTGACAATATCCTATGAAGAGCATTAGCGACTACGGGGAATTTGAAGCCATGGAAAGCACAAACCTTCTTCAGCAAGTTGGTTGCCAGCATCAGAACTTCGGTGTCTGGTCGAAAGCTCTGTACTGCTCCGAGATACCCGACTCTTTTCTGGAGGTATTTGGCGGATGACATGACTTCGAGAACGTGAAAAGATGCCCATGACATGTCATAGCCAAACATTTCAAGGTAAATGAGTTTTAGGAGGGCTGTAGCCTTTTTGTCTACTTAAGGTCAGCATCGAGTCTATTGCTGGATGAATAGGTGGGAGTTAGTACCCATGTCTTGTGTTTTGATCTCGGCCTTGCATTCGCGCAAGGAACTCTGGATGTATTCATTTTCACCGCCCTGATGACCCCGAAGGCCTTTGATAAGGTCATAAAGTGATTTTTCGAACCTATACTAGAAATTAGCGTTGGCCATTCTGGGACAGGAAACATGGTGCCCACATCGTGTCGGAGCTATCAATCGTAACACGCTCGAGTCGAAGAGAAGAATAATAGTAATGAAACCCCCTAGTAAGACTGGAGGTGCATTATAAATTGGGCTGTCAGATCTGCCATAGTTCAGGATGAGAACGAAAGATGTAATTGAGTGCAAGCAACCCGAGCTCCGCGGGGTGGAGAGTTGGCGTTTGGGGGATCCCCGATAAGAGATCGGATCACGGGACTGTGGCTAATTAAGCACCGGTGCACTCTGTTCTCTCTCAACATTTGTCTTAATTGGATCAACCCTGCTCTCGAATTGCGTTTTCTTTTCTTTTCTTTTTTTTAATTTAATTGAAGCTGTACTATCATTCTTGACAGTTGATTATGGCAGGTCCTGTCGCTGATATCCGTGAGATCAGCGGATCAGATCTGATCTCTGCTCTTCATCTTGCTCAACAAGCACCAGCAATCCTTGGCCAGGAATCCGGGTCTGGGTTTACCTCCAATTCTTCAGAAACCGCAGATTACTACGCACGATTAGAGCAGCTTCTGTTAGCCTGTCTTCGGACGGGGGATGACCAGTCAGCACATACCTGCCTGAATCGCCTCAGCCTCCGATTTGGGCCGTCTAATGAAAGGATTATGGGGCTTCGAGGTCTATACGAGGAGGCAACCGCCAAGGATCAGTCGGCACTAGAAAAATGCCTGCAGGAATACGACAACACGCTGTCACAGAACCCAGTGAATGTGGTCAGTATTGCAGGTCCTGGGGGTAATGGGATGCAAGACTAACCATATACACAGCCCATCCTAAAGCGCCGGGTAGCGTTGTTACGCTCGCTCAACCGACCGTCTGACGCAATCTCCGGTCTTATTCAACTCCTCGATGCCATCCCTACCGATGCCGAAGCCTGGTGTGAACTAGCCGACTTGTACCAATCACAGGGGTTGGGTCCCCAAGCCATTTTTAGCCTCGAGGAGGCTTTGCTCATCGCTCCTAACTCTTGGAATGTATGCAATCATGCACCCTTTTTATTAAAGTATATATATATATCTTGGGATTACGAGTCACTAACATCAAAATGTAAGATTCATTCCCGCCTCGGTGAACTGCTATACATCTGCGCCTCCGACGGGGACGCCTCCCGGCTCCTTGGGAGGTCGGTGCAACACTTCAGCCGAAGCATTGAACTTTGTGACGACTATCTACGAGGATTCTATGGGTTAACTTTGGTAAGTCAGCAAATAGTGGTATTGACTCATTCCATTCTAACCCAGGTTTCCCCCCGATAGGCCTCGACTCGGATGCTTGACAATGATTACGCAGGCGTATCAGGTCAACTTCCTAAGAAGACCTTAGAACGATTGAAGGCCTTTGCGCTCGTCAAGTTGGGCGAAATTGTTGAGTCACCGTCGATCGATGACCAACATTGGGCATCGAGTCGAAGTGAGCTGATTGCAGCCAAGGAGTTACTAAATCGCCAATGAAGTAATATTCAGGCGGCTTAAAACTAAGCCTTTTGATTCGAGAATACCCTAATAAAAAATAAAAATAAAAATAAAAATAAAACACATATGTTGATTCTAGAGTGTTCTATTAGAATGGAGTAATGTATGGAGTGTGGATAAGAGTGTACGGCAAGTATAGAGAAAATATTGGGCATTTTCGTTTGGGCAGCAGATGTGTCAAAAGAGAAAAAGAAAAAAAAAATTTCACACAAAAGAAATGCCCAATGGGCCTAATAAAGATATTTATATTTTAACTAAAAAAGGCCTCTTTCTATCTCTTGGTTCTTACTTTTTTTTTTCTTCTTTTTCTTTGTATAGAGATACCCTGGTCTTGTTTGTTTTTTTTTCCCCTCTACATTGTATACTCCTACATTTCTTATTCCTATCCTTCCTATATCTCTATTACGAAAGGGATATTGATTTCCTTTTTTATTTGATCTTTTATTGTTTTTTTTTTTCTTTCTTTTTCTCCTACTCTATTCAAAGAGGTTAAAAAGAAAAGAAGGGAACAAGGGAACAAGGGGGGAAAAAAAGAGAGAGAAATCGTCCATGCGCAAACCCCCGCGATCATTTTTACCGGTGACATTATTTTCTTTCCCTCCAACCTTCTCCCCAACCCTACTTGGGTATTCCCTCCTCACTTCGCGCATGCGAAAGAGTGAGAGGACAAGTTATATTTATATATATCCTTATATAAATACATATAGGCTTTCTCATTGTCTCTATGACGTATGTTTGGGTTTTGGTTTACCCCCTTATCCCCATATTCCCTTCGCATATTCCCATATTCCCATATTCCCCTTCCCTCTCCCTCTCGCTCTCTCCCTCTCTCCCTCTCTCCCTACCCCCCTCCCCCTTCTTTTAAAAGAAACTTTCTCACCCTTACTCTCTGTCTCTTCCTCTTTACAGGCTCAGTATCTCCATTGATCCAAACCCCCATGGTTCGGATCGCTCTTACTCCGACGACGAGGACTCGTCTGGTGTTCATGTCCCTACATCTTCCGAATTAGAAAGTCATGAGTACCAGGATTATGATGAGTGGGCGCATTTGCCATATCCGGATGAATTGAAACCATCTGATTCAGCCTCCCGACCAAGAACTTCGCACCGCAGTCGTCCGCCCCACGGTTCACGCTCCGCTTCGGGCCGTCGCCCAACATCGCGACGGATGGTTCCAGAACATCAGTCGTTCGCCCCTCGAGGCCGAAGACAACAATCACCACCAGATTCCCCCGACAGTGCCGATTCCGCCGACGAGTACCCTCCCAATTTTAGTCGAAATGATCGGAGGAATTGGCAACAACCTATGCCACCTGCCCCTGGATACGCCCCCAGCCAGTCCTCTGGTCCATCTTATCCTCCTTATCCTCCCCCTCCTCCTCCTCCAGGCCATGGTCCATATGCCCACCACAATCCTCCCCCAATTACTTCGGAACTCATGAGAATTCCACACCCGGGTCAACCCAACCCCTACGGTGCCCCTCCGCCCTATGGATACCCACCTCAATTCCAACCGGGTTTTCTTCCCGATCAACCCCACCTTCATCCACGACATGCGCCTCGCCAGCCGCCTCAGCTGCACAATCCAATGCAACCGCCAATGCAACCGCCAATGCCGCACGCGATGGGTCCTCACGGTGCTCACTCCCCTTACCCTGGATATCCGCACGAATTGATGGCCTACGGTCAGACTGGTTTCTATCGAGATCAACCCAGCTATTTCGGGGGACCGATCCCGGGCATGATGCCTCCTCATTATTGGCCACCCTACCCTCCAATGCCGTCTCCTCCAGTGCAACCTGAACCTAAATCCCCCCCACCCCCGACGCCTGCTCCCGAACCTGCTCCAGCCCCAGCCCCAACCCCAGCCCCAGCTCCGGCCCCAGCTCCGGCTCCGGCTCCTGAACCTGCCCCCCCTCCACCGCCGCCTCCACCGCCGCCTCCACCGGTCGACACTGCCAAGGATGAGCAAATCGCAAGGCTCGAGAAGTTGATTCTGGACGATCGTCTAGACCGCGAAGCGAAGGAGCTCGCCAAGAAGCAAGCTATTGAACGCGCGGCTGCCGAGAAAGCAGCTCAGGATGCACAGACCGCACATGATAGGAAGATTACCCTGGAAGCTGCGGCGCTTGCTCGAGCGGATGCAGAAAAAAAGGCAGCGGAGGATGCCGCAAAGGCCAAGGAGGAGGCGGAGAAAGCCACTGCCGCGGCCGCTTCTGAGGCAGCAGCGGCAGCAACGGCCGCAGCTAATGAAGCAGCTGCCAAGGCGGCCGCAGCGGCTGCTGAAGCAGCTGCTAAAGCTGCCGAACCGCCGCCACCACCGCCACCCCCGGAAAAAAAGCAACCTATCAAATTTAAGGACGCTGTTGGGAGGAAATTCAGTTTTCCATTTGAACTATGTGCTACCTGGCAGGTACGTGTCAATTTACCTCGCTCCGTTGATCTAGTTCTCTTATTCTAACTTTGGTTACAGGGAATGGAAGAGCTTATCCGGCAAGCTTTCCTCCATATTGAAGTCATTGGACCCCATGTGGCCGAGGGCCATTACGATCTTATTGGTCCGAATGGCGACATTATCCTCCCACAGGTTTGGGAAACTGTAATCGAGCCTGACTGGGCTATCACTATGCACATGTGGCCAATTCCCGAAAAGCCAAAGGAAGACCCTCCTCCTCCCCCTGCACCAGAGCCTGCTCCGGTAAAACCTCCCGATCCACCTGCCGAGCCGAAGAAGAAAGCAGACGGTAAGAATATCCCTTTGAAACACTCCCAGAGACGTGCGCTTACCTTTGCTCTAGGCCCTAAGAAAGCCAAGGCTGGAGGACCAGCTGTCCCTGGAAGTTTCGCGATGTGGATGTTAGGTGGCACCAATCGTCGGGGGGGCAAAGGGGGTCCTAAAGTGGAAAAAAAGCCCGATGCCCCTCCCCCAGCACCCGCACCATAAGAAATGGTTTCCGTCGATCGCCCTGCTTAGTCTGGGGTGATGACTAGGTTGGGTTCAGGTCACTTTTCGACCTATGTACCCATGGACCTTCTGGGCAATGAAAAGGCATGAAAATCGCTTTGCTAATACCGCTTTCGAAAATGATGACGAAAATGATCAATGTCCGGAGTATGTTATACGATATCAACTTTGGATTACGCCTAGGACTGATACCAACTTAAATATGTTTCTTAACCTGCCATATTTGTTAAAGTGCCACTCGATAAAGCTATATATAAGAAGTATCATAGGTGGACGAATAGAGTCACCTTTAGTGCTCGTAACCCCCCTTATCCCCCCTTGCTTGCAAATGCCTAAAGTCTTAGGTGCCAATTTATTTTTTCTACACTTTTAATTCCGGTTTATAGTAAAAGGACCTACATTTTAATTAGAAAAAATCGTAACGTATTTCACCCTATAGCTAGACACCCCACCCAACCTATTAAATATAAATTCATTTATCTCAACCATAACGCCATTAGATTAAATCAACTAACTAGCTAGTCTATCTAGCGTATTTCACTACCGAGCGGCGCACGCCATCGAGTGGCGCACCCTATCTAACCCATTAGATTTAAATATATTTATCTCAACCATAACGCTATTAAATTAATTCAACTAAGTGGTCTATCTAGATATATTTCTCTTCTATACCCTGGTATTCTATATATCCTATACCCTCGCTAGCCCTATATACGTAGCTAAAGAGTAGATTCTCTAGGTATACTAGGGCTAGGGGAAGGTACTTTAGTTACTTCCTATTACTATATAATTAATATAGATACTTCTTAAACTAAGAGGCCTTCTTCTATAGGTATCTACCTCCGGGATCTAGTACGCTTTTACTTCTACTTCTTGTTAGCGGCCTATAATTCCTTATTTTCTTTAGCAAGTAAGATAGCACCTTATATTATAAAACGGAAGCCTTTTATAAGCTAGTTTAATATACGATCTAATAGGCTAGGCGGGCTTCGAGATCTTATACGAAGTAAAGCTTTAATTAATAAAGGTTATCGATATAGGTCTTTCTCTATAAAAGGGGTTTTTAGGGTAAAATTCCGGCTTAATTTACTACCCTAGCTAGTAGGGGGGGGTTAAGGTTCGAAGCCGGATATTAAGCTTTAAAATTATTTAGTCGGGTCTAAATAGTATTAAACTAATAGCTAAAAAGCTGTTCTTAATTATCTCCGATTTAAAAGCTTTAATTCGTATAAAAGGGTATACTTCGAGGAAGTTAAGTTTATTAATATAGTTAATCCTATTCTATATCTTAGTTTTAACTATCCGACTATATAATCGTTTTAATACTATAAAATAACCTATATTAAGAGGTTATAAAAGATAAGATAAATATATTAGTATATAGATTAGTATTATCTTATTTTACTTATAAATTTTATTAAATTAAGGTATTAAATAACTTCTATAGCCGTTAAGTATTAAAAGCTAATATCCCCTCTTTATATATAAAGAAGTACTAGGAATAAAGAGCTTATTAAGCTAATAAAGCCTAATTTTATCGGAGGTCTAGCCGTTAGGACTAACTTCGAAGCGCTAATCCTTTAAGAGGCTATCGAACTATAATTTAATAAAGACTTTACCTTTAAAAATTATATATAGAGAAAGGGTCTAGCTAAAAGTATTTATATACTTAATAATAGTTACTTACTCTCGATTTCTAGATTATAAAACCGGCCTCTAACTATAATATTTACTTCTTATAATAACCTTTATAGTTATAATTAATCCTATTATAAAACCGGTCTTATCGAAGTTATAGATATCGTTAGGGTCGATCTTAAATTAAAGGATAGTTTTTTAAATAAAATTAAACTACTCTATAATAATTTTTAGGTCTTTATATTTCGTACGCTTATAGTTATACTATTTCGAGAATTAAAAGAAGAGGAGAGGACGTTATTTAACGAATTTTATAACCTAATTTTAGCCGACTAAAAGAACTAAGGTAGTTCTATACTTTTAAAGAAGAAGATCTACTATTTCTCGTATTATAGAGGGCCGGGGAGCTACTCTATATAGATCTATAAAGAGATTCTATTTTTAAAGAGATTCCTCTTTAATTTTAGTTAATTTAGAGTAATTAGCGCGAGAATTCGCGCGGTTTTATATACTACTAAGGCGGCGGTAGAGGATAGTTTTAGGTATAGTAAAACGGCGTACTACTTTACGAATTAAAGAGATTTCTTGATTCTTAAAAGCCTAGATAGCTAGTAAGATTCTACCCTCCTACTCTATTGAATTTCTAGAGCGTTAAGAGCGAATTGGTGGTATAGTAGGTAGTTGAAGAAGAAAGGGTTAAATTAATTGACGCGTTTTCGATGGGGTGCGCCACTCGGTGGTATGCGCCGCTCGGTAGTGAAATACGTTAGTATTAAACTAGTAGCTAAGAAGCTATTCTTAATTATCTCCGATTTAAAAGCTTTAATTCGTATAAAAGGGTATACTTCGAGGAAGTTAAGTTTATTAATATAGTTAATCCTATTCTATATCTTAGTTTTAATTATCCGAGTATACGATCGTTTTAATACTATAAAATAACCTATATTAAGAGGTTATAAAAGATAAGATAAATACGCTAGTATATAGATTAGTATTATCTTATTTTACTTATAAATTTCGTTAAATTTAGGTATTAAATAATTTTTATAACTATTAAGTATTAAAAACTAATACCCCCTTTTTATATATAAAGAAGTACTAAGAATAAAGAGTCTCTTAAACTAACGAAGCCTAATTTTATAGGAGGTCTAACTATTAGGACTAATTTCGAAGCGCTAATCCTTTAGGAGGCTATTAAACTATAATTTAATAAAGACTTTATCTGTTAAAATTATATATAAAGAAAGGGCTTAGCTAAAAGTATTTATATATTTAATTATAGTTACCTACTCTCGATTTCTAGATTATAAAAGTACTCGCTAACTATAGTATTTACTCCTTATTATAATCTTTATAGTTAGTATTAACCCTATCGCGAAACCGGTCTTATTAAAGTTATAGATATTATTAGAGTCGATTCTAAATTAAAGGATTATCTTTTAAACTAGATTAAATTACTCCCTAATAATTTTTAGATCTTTATATTTCGCTCGTTTATAGTTATACTATTTTAAAAACCGGGAGGAGAGAAAAGGACGTCGTTTAACGAATTTTATAACCTAATTTTAGCCGACTAAAAGAAGTAGAGTAGTTCTACGCTTTTAAAGAAGAAGGTCTACTATTTCTCGTACTATAAAGGGCTAAGGGGCTACTCTATATAAATCTATAGAGAGAATATATTTTTTAAGAGATTCCTCTTTAATCTAGGTTAATTTCTATAGTTTAACGTAAGAAATCGCGTAGTTTTATATACTATAGAGGCGTATAGCGAGAGTTAAATTCGGTATATTAAATCGGCGGGCGGTTTCACGAATTAAAGAGATTTCTCGATTCTTAAAAGCCTAGATAGCTAGTAAGATCCTACCCTCTTACTCTATTGAATTTTTAGAGCTCCGGGAGCGTATTAGTAGTATAGTAGGTAGTAGAAGAAGAAAGGGGTTAAATTAATTGACGCGTTTTAGGTGGGTGTCTAGCTATAGGGTGAAATATGTTAAGCTTTAAGGATTCTTTACTTAGATAGATATATATCTTAATTTAAATAGCGCTAAGTTATTTAATAAAGCTAGTAAGATAATTTTTATATTAACCTATCTATATAACTAAGCTTAGAACTAGCTTAAATCTTATATTAGAGACTACTATAAAAAAGCCCTTAAAGACTAGTCTATAATAATCTTAGATATCTTTAATAATTATCGAAGTTTTCGATAATATCTAGAATAAATATTTAGAGATATCGATATTATTAAAATATTTAAATAAAAGCTATAAAAAATTAGATAAATAATTAGTATATTAGTATACTTCTCTAAGTTTTAATAAATTATATCTTACTTAGACTTATTTAATTAAATATATATTCTATACTATAAAATAGGACTTAAATCCGATATAAAAAATAAATTAGTATAAATTAATAGGCTAGATATCCTAGACTAACTTATTATAATTATAATTAAGATTAATAATTATATTAATAAATAATAATATAAATAATAAAAAATAGACTAATAGAAAAAAGATAAGACTTATAGATTTAACTACTTTTAGTAATAAGCGCTAATAGTAAGTATTTTAAGACCCTAATCTATATAGTCTAAGGCTAATAGAGTTAGATACTATTTAAAATAAGTAAAATAAATATTAATAGAAGAATCTTTATTTTATATATAGGAAACTAAGATACTATATAAAAGAATATAAATAGAAGAAACTATATAAAAAATAATAATATATATGAGCGATATATAAAATATTATAAGCGATTGTCGAATACCAAGTCCGAATATATGGTAGAAACCAGGTAATATACCGGAAACATCATATGACATTGGGTACTAGGCATACCATACAAAAGTGCATATTATAGTTAGTTATTAGTGTCCGTATAGATTGTTGAAATAGCGGGTTTTATCATTTTAGTTAGTTAGAGTTGTCAATATTAGTTATTTATACTATATATTGTTCGTATACTAGTGTTACGGACCTATCCGTTACCAATCAGTGGTGACCCACCAGGCACACCAATAGGCCATCAAGAGCCAACCAGGATATCTGTCAGCAGATCACGTGCAAGCTCACTAAGCAAGAGCATGATCCGCCCTAAGCGGATCTATCCCGTAGAGGATTTCCGTTATATAGGTTGCTCTACGTACTAGACAACTACTACTTAGTATCACGTGATTATATAGGTAGTAGAAGGGTAGTAAGTAGATTAGTAGAATCCGCCTAGACGATTCTATTATTCTACTATCTACTATTCTATATAGGAAGAACTTAGGGATATATAAGGACACTTATTTATATATCTAGTTTAGTTCTTCGTCTTTAATTATATATTG